TTCGATGCATTAGAATCGATAAGGATTTTTCGTGGCTGCTCAAAGCCCTCCATGGTTGCTTCTACGACCAGCACGCCCGACTTGCATACACGCTCCGTGTTCAAGAGCGCGGAGCTCTTCGGGGCTGGGCCCTGCTGTAAATTACCTCTTTAAGGCGCAACAGAACTCATTTCTTCCCCAGTAGGGCGCCCCGTGCCTACTGGGTTTTCTCGTTTCCCTGCGACAAACCAGACTGGTTAGAGGAAAACTTCATTTCAACGAGCCTTTACGCGCCTTGTCCAGGGGACAACCAGTCCAAAGGTGACGGGTGTCTTCACAGACAAAACACCGTCGAGTGTTCAACCGCTGCTCGGCAGCTCGGAGCTCTCACTCCTGTTTCTCAGCATAGCTGAATTTCATTGGCTCAGGCCCGCTCGACGAGCTCTGAGGGTGTGTATTACAGCCAAGTCGTACTTACGTAAAGTTGAATCCGACTTTCAATGTCACATTCCACGCTTCTTCAAAATAGACGGATGCACACAAAAGACTTCCATTCTGGCCACGCCAGTGCGGAGGCCTTCCATAAAGTCGCCGCCTCGTTGTCGTCTCGGCAATGAGAGTTTTCAACTCTTGAAAAATGTCCACCAACTCCTTCGTGCCCTGTCGGGTCGCAAAGAAACGCGATCGCACGCGATATGCCTGGTAAGGCGGTGAGAAACTCGCAAATGCTGACGCTTCTGCTCCTTTCGGGAGGGGAATGTAGCTTCAACTGAAGCACCGCACGTTAGTGCCATTTCTTGCGCTCGGCCCCCGAGCTTGGAGATAGCTTACGCTTGCTCTTTCTGAAGCATGGCGGCCTTTTTAACCGAGACCAAAAATGCCCCCGAGCTTGGAGATAGCTTACGCTTGCTCTTTCTGAAGCATGGCGGCATCTTTAACCGAGACCAAGAATGGAAATTCTCTCCATCCTTCTCTCGAAGGTCTTAACGCTCACCATGAGCGGCCTGGGTCGGAAGAAATCATCTGTCGTCGACGGTGGCGCCATAGACGCAGTCGCCGCTGACAGCTTCTGCTGTAAGTGCTCTAGCAGAGCACATTCATAATTTGAAAACGCCACTAGGCGCGCGCTTATTGCCTCGGGCCCTTGCGCAACAAGGTGCTCCACGCACTCAGGTCCGGCAGGGAAATCAGCTTATCAAGCCCGTCCTGCATTCCCTGGGGCAAATAGGAGTATTTCTCGATCCTCACAGAGGACCAATTGTAACGACTTAGGCGTAGATTGACTACGAGTGCTACCAAATGCAGCGGGGATGTCGTAGCTTTTTGCTTAGAGCAAGGTCACCGACCCAACGTTCGTCCCAAGAGCCAGTACGAGTGTAGCGGATCGCAATCCGCTACCTATCCCAAACCATTAACCAAGGCAAACGAACTCTTCTGTATAAAATCGAAACTGTATTTCAAAGTTTTAATTACGCCAATATCTCAAACCTAAGGCTTCCCTGTTAATATAGTAATACCTAATTAATATGCAATACTACAGGCATGTGTGACCCACCCTTTCATACAAGGGTACGTGTGACGCCGTTACACCAAATAAGGGGGGCGCGCGCGAAGATGGACACGTCAGCACGCAAACATGAATCAAAGCAAATATTGAGAAAGAGTGCGCACGTCAGGAAGCCCAGTTATTCACAATTATAAACATGTATTTCTATCTTGATCTAGTGTCGAATCGGCATATGTTCCAGTCGCTTACAGACGCATCGTATGTGGTTAAAAATTTTCGTCCACCCGTCAAAAGAGGTGATAATAAGAATGCTTAGGTACAACGCGCGACTCTAAAGACAGTACACTATATGTGGAGGCATTAAATATGCCAAATTCGGATACGATATCTTTGCGTTTTGTGACGAATGTCGAAGATTTTGTTAAACTTTTGATCCGAACGGAGGACTTTTACAACGTTAAACGTTGTTTCGCTTTGAATCTGAATTCGATTATATGTTTTGCCCCCTACATATGGCGTGAATTGAACTCCGGTAGCCATAAACTGACTAATTTTGAAAACGCAAGGCGCCCCACACTTCTCTCTCGGTGGATCTTTAGGAACATTTCTCTGCTAGGAAGCAAAAGCGCTATAGGCGCGTGTATGAATCGACGATAACCATTGACTAGGACTGTGACTGTCTGATCTGAAAGCAATTGTATCGCCAAGAGTTTGGGGCAGAGCTAGCGAAACTAAAGTGGCAGTTAATCTCGGTGTCAGAATGAGCTAGAAAGAAGTGATTGTTTATAGCAGTCTCTGTATTGTATCCCTGCCAAAACGGAAAATAGAGCCTGTACATCGTTATTCCTGGGGTGTATCTTCGGCAAAGCGGCAAATTATAACTTTAAATTGAAATTTATACATATATAATTAAATACTACTATGACAGTATTGGTTGTAAGATACACATAAAATTGTATGCACTACATGGCGTCAAAGCGTACCCAACGCAATCCTCCTTTGCGAAGGTGTCTTTAATTTCATGAATCTACTAATTGGGAACTCTAGAACACTGCAGGATAGTGTGATGTTGTCTTTCACTATATATGATACGGTATGCATTAATGACAGTGCACATTGAGCGCTCATTTTTGGGCAATGTAATGAGTAGACATAATGAGTGTGAGCTCAATGTAAGGGTCCGCAACGGAATGGACAAAATTAGATGGACGCAGAGGGACTCGGTGCGATTTGAAGGCCTTATATGAAGATGCTCATTTTGTATCGCCCCAGGCAGAGAATTGTTACTGGGTCTGACTTTGATACATGCTCGATCCGCTTCTTTGCTAATCAACAATACCGGTTGCGGGTTTTTTTAAAGTAGACACAAAAAGCACCACCCTCCCAAATTACCACTTATTCCAGGATCCACTGACTTACCTTCTTGATAAGATCAAAACTGCCCCATTCATTAATACAATCCCACTCCGATCCTGACACTGATATATATCCAAGCGGATTCTTCGCTAAATTTGTCCAATTTAAAAAAACTTGCAGGCCTCTGTGAAGTCGTCTCGGAGCAATTGTCACTTTTGTTACAAAAGTGCCTGAAATTACTCCCCCGAATCGACTGTAACCAGGTTATTTTAGTAATCGAAGTGGCTTGACACCGCTGGTGGAGGATTTTTGAAAGGAGCAGGAGCAGAAGCGAAGCAAAAACAGGAGGAGGAGGCGGAGGTTTTTTCAGCTGGGCTGACGCAACATCTGAAATTGAAAAAAGCTTGACTTCCACGGTCATCCTACTTACTTTTTTCTACGGAACTTCGACGTTCTTACTGCCAGCACCAACAGCATTTTGATGACATCAATTGATTTAGATGTGTTACCACTATACCCATAACTGGGCGGCGCCCGAATCTGCTCCCAAAATTTTCACTTCTTCGAGGATTTAATCACCGGAATTCTCTCTTTATCAAGCCTGATTACCGCGTTGACCATTACTGCCTGCGCTAGGAATTTGGCGTAGCATCACTCGCCTACACACAAATAAAGAATGCTGGCTGAGGAAAGCGTCAAACTACTTGAATTGAGCGTTATTGCAACGATCACGGCAAATATGACACAAAGATCCATTGTAAGTCTCGGTCCAGATGAAGAATGTGGGTCGGATGCATACACATGTGAGTGCCTAAGTCAGCTCGTTACCCTAAGATTAACTCGACGGAATGTTGATTTGTTGATAAAACTCGAAGTGAAAAAGCTGATTATGTTGCAATGTCTTCGTACAGACAATGTCATATCCATACCACATTATTCTGCCAGGATGATGTACCCGATCGAACCCGATCGTTCGTCAATGATAAAAGGACTCGATGCAGTCCGTTCTTGCTAGAAATCCTACTGTAAACCTTATGCACATGAAAGTAAACCTGGTCTTTTATGGGATGTACCTACAATCATTTAAGTGAAGCCACCACACCTTAACCATAAGAGTAAACGAAGCTTGTTTACGTAACAAACAAATGTAAATGTTATGCATGTTTGATTAACTTTTAGCTGCAACATCGTTTTTCAACAGTAATGCGTTGCGACTGCCTTTTGTGAATGCGAAATTTCATTTATGGAACTAATACGAATGGCTTTACTGTAGTCTGTACGATAAAGAGTTATCCACTCACTGCTATCTATTCACTGCAATGTTCCCAAGTCATATATTTGAATTTCTTTTATCTGGAATGGCTGGTAAACGCGGTTGTAAACCAATAACGAGATCAGAAACTTGTAATTTTTTCAAAAATATCGGGGCCAAGAAGAGCCGTGGCGTATTCATCGCGGACGTTATTGGCCAGCTAAGTTCTAAAATACACTCCGTAATCGCCAATCTTCACGTCATTCGCTATTACCTGCTGAACAGTGTCAGGTAATAGCCCCTTGGTAAGCCATTCCTGATATTGTGCTTTTTGAAAATAAAGGGCCCACTCTCTGGCTAGCAAATCTGGAGACCTTTGCGCTGCCCAGAGCATGATCGCCACTTTTGCGGGACCGATAGCACTGGTGAGCGTATCAAGTAGCGTCAACATACGTGCTTCATTGGGATAAATTACATAGAAATGATAGTGGTAGGACACCCACACTTGAGGAGAAATTGTTCTAAAACCCATGATAGAGAAAGTTGAAGAGGTGATAGTTGGTGCCAATCACCATTTTCATGACATCGTCCGGGCTCTTTTTCTCCTTCAACAAAACCGAACATAAAGCTTCCAAATACTTCTGCCCTTTGTCATTTTGATTTTCCGGAGAGGTCAAAATTCTAACTAGATTGGTCTCTCCATAGAACTCGGTGAGATGTTTCAGTTCTTTAAGTATATATGTCTCTTCATCTTGATCTCCACTCTGAATGCGTACACACTTGACCCACTCGTTGTAATGATCACCAAAGAAATTGTGACGATTGATCTCCGCA